CCTCAAGGCGGCCCAACCCCTGGAAACCCACACACTAACAAGAACGCGATCAACACTTGGCATACTTTCTCAGAGGTCCACACGGTTTTTTGGGATCGGCGCTTAGACCCCTCCCTGGCCCGCACAGCGCGCCAAGGGCGGCGCCGGAGGCGCCGCCAGGGGGCCCAGCGCCGATCCAAGAAATCCGCGCGGAGCTGCGACTGTTTATGTGTATGGTCCTCACCTCCCAGCGTCTCCTCCTCCATGCTCCCTCCCCCTCCAAGAGGAAGGAGAACTTGAGGGAGATCCCGGGGTCTCTGAAACTGCAGTGAATGGCCTCATGGGCCTTCCTCCCTGTCCTCCTCCGGCCCCTCCTCGTCCTCGTCGTCGTCCTCGCACAGGGCTCGTCTTTGGCGTGAGGGATTCGCAGGGCCGACTTGGTGCAGAAGGCCGACCAGGTCTAAGAGAAGAGAATTTCGCCAGCGAAGCACCGACTCGAGGGCCGAACTGAAGGGAGAGGTGGAGCAAGCCCGCGCTCGGGGCAAAACCAAGAGAGCGCTGCCCACCTGCACCCACATCCGGGCATGGCCGATCCCGGGCATGAGAGCGGAGGTGCGGGTGGGCAGGAGCATCCGCACATGCGTCGATGGGCAAAGAGGACAAAGAACCCACTGCTTGAGGAAACGCGAGCACGCGCATGACCGCCCCACCACCCTCCCACTCCCGGGCACAGTGGCGGAGGTGCGGGTGGGCAGGAACACCCGCACACTCGCCGATGGTCATGAAGAGGACCAAGGACCCACTGCTTGAGGAAGCGCGATCGCGCGAGCGACCGCCACCCCCTGGTCACGTCACGATTCGCGCGGGCGCCGTTTGAGCACTAGCTAGCTTGAGGCATTCCCACCCGGAAACAACGTGAATCCTGACGTGACCAGCCCACTACACCCCCTGTCACGCCCGTTACAGCCAGAGCATCCGCCACCGTGCCTCTAGGCACGGAGTGGGCGTGTCCTCAGGTCCTTTGCCTACTTCCCTAAGTCTCAATCCTCAAGCGTCAATCCTCAATCCTCAAGCCTCAATCCTCACTCCTGAGGAATCTCTTATGGACCTGGAGCCCACATTGCCCGATCCACCGGTGCTTGCCGCGTCGCGTCGGGGATTCGGCGCATCTCCCCGCATGATTTTTGTTGGGCCCCAAAGGGGCCCCAAGACGGGCCAAGATAGTCCCAAGAGACCTCCCAAGATGGGCCAAGCGAGCTTCGAGTTGCCGAACGGTCGCCCCAATTAGCCCAAGATGGCCTCGGCCCGAGAGGCCCCCAAAACGCCCCAAAAGTGCCCCCCCCCACGAGACAACAATCATTGACTTTTCGCTAGCTTCGGTTCCTCGACGCTTCGGCCCACGAGGCCCCTAAGATCGCCCCAAGACGGCCCCGGAGGCCCACGAGGGCCCCAAGACGGCCAAAAAGGGCGCCAAGACGGCCCAAGAGGCGCCCAAGACGACCCAAGAGGGCCCAAAGACTGCTCCATGAGGGAACCCAGATGGGGAACCCAAGCAGACATTTCGAGTCCTCGGCCCTGAGGGGCCCCCAGGAGGCGCCCGAAACTGCCCCCAAGAGGCCTCCGAGAACGCTCCGAAGAGACCCCACGAAACATCCCGGAGAACTCTGACCCACGACCCACAGGCACGTTGGCGGCATGGGCAGAAGGCCAGTCGACAAAAAAACAGCCTCACGGGATACCCTTGCGGCAAAAGACCCTAGACTGCTCCGCACAGCGAAGGGGGGGCCACGGTGGGCCACCGACTCGGCGGCCCAGGCTCCCTCAACGGGCGTTCGAAGCATTGTTTGTTATGATTTGTGTTTTTTTTGTTTTTTTTCTCTCTCTCTCTCTCTCTCTCTCTTTCTATACATACATTTAAGTATATCGATGTGCACATATACATGTACACACACATATATACACACATACATACATACATACATACATACATACATACAGACAGACAGACAGACAGACAGACAGACAGACAGACAGACAGACAGACAGACAGACAGACATACATACATGCATGCATACATGCATGCATGCATGCATGCATACATGCATGCATATTTATATATATATATATACATGTATGCATGCATACATGCATGGATATACATACATACATTCATACATGCGTACATACATACACACATACACACATACATACACACAAGCATGCACGCACGCAAACATCCGTGTATATATATGCAACTATACATTCACACACCTTCATACTTACATACATATATACATACATACATACATACATTTATGCATGCATGCATACAGACATACATACATGCATATATATACACATGTGTGCTTGTATACATACGTACATACGGATATGCGTATATCCATGCGCACATGCATACATGCACACATGCATACATGCATACATTAAAGCATGCATGCATACACACATGCATACATTCACGCTCACATACATACGTACGGACATGCAGGCATACACACATACACACATGCACGCATACATACATGCATACATACACACATAATGTCACACATACATACACATACGTACGTGCATACATACATACATGTTCACATGCATACAGACATACATGCAGACATGCACACATACATGCACACCTACATGTATACATGCACACATGCATGCATGCGTGCATGCATACATACACATACACGCATACATACATGCACACATGCATGCATGCATGTATACCTACATACATACACATACATATATACAAATATATATACATGCATACATGCATGCATACATACATGCATGCATACATGAATACGTACGTATGTACGTACATCCGTGCATACATGTATATATATATATGCAACCATGCATACATACATACAGACATAGATGCATACAATCATACCTACCTGTCTACCGACCTACCTACAGATCTACATATTTACACATGTGAGCCCTTACAGACAATCTGGTTCGGAAACTCCGCCCTGCTCTCCGGGGTCGGCGCTGGAGCACGCGACCCCAAGGGCGTGGGGAAGGCCAGGCCCCGTCGCCGAGGGGAGGCGGCGGGATACGTGGTCCAAGCGGGCGGACGGGCGTATCGCTGGCCAGGGCGCGGAGGAGGACGGGGAATGGGGAGGGGAACTCAAGTACAAGCTAGTGATCAAGCCAGGCTGAGCTGCAGACAGGAAGATATACAGACTAGCGCACACGGAGACAGGAGGAGGAGGAGGGAGGAGGGGGAGGAGGAGAGAGGGGAGGGCGGGGGGAGAGAAGGAGGAAGAGGAGGAGGAGGGACAAGTGCAAAACCAATACTCATCAACGCTATTGCAAGAAAGCCTCCCTCCAAACTCCTACTCTGCAGGCCCCTACAAATACTCAAATTCACTGAAAGAAATGCCCCGTTGGAAGACAACCGTTTGACAATCCTAAACTGTGCCAGAACACCCTTCCTGGGACTTCACCGCTGCGAATTACCGTTTTTGTTGCGCCTTGACTATCCTGAACCGTGCAAAAACATCATACCTGGACTTCACACTGCAAATCAACCTGACTGTTGCGTCCTGACAGTCCTACATCCCGCACATACACCTTTTCTGGGACGTCAACCATAAGAATCCTTGAACGTGCTGCAAACTCTTAAAACGAACGTGCGCGTTGCTAAGGCGACAATCACATTTTGATAACGGCCCGCCCTCAATCCGTGAAGCTCTTGCGTTTGTAAAGCGAATGTGCGCTGAGCCAAAGCGAGAACCACATTTTGAAAACGATCCGCCCGCAATCTGTGAACTTCTTGCACTTGTTTGACCGAACGTGCGCGGGGCCGAGGTGACAACCACATTTTGAAAACGGCCCGCCCTCCGTCCGTGAAACTCTTGCGTTTTTTTTGTTACAAGAATGTGCGCGGTGCCCAGGCGACAACCACATGTTGAAAACGACCCGCCCTCCATCTGTAAACCTCTTGCACTTGTTTAACCGAATGCGCGCGGCGCAGAAACGACAACCACACTTTGAAAACGGTCCGCTCTCCATCCGTGAAGATCTTGCATTTTATAGCACGAATGTGCGCGGTGCCCAGGGACAACCACATTTGGAAAACGACCCGCCCTTCATGAAGCATCTGCATGTGTTAAACGAATGCGCGTGGCGCTAAAGCGAGAACCACATTTTGAAAACGACCCGCCCTCAATCCGTGAAACTCTTGCACATTCTCCGTTTCAGGATCATGTTCGATTACGAAATCTCAACGAAACGCCCGGCCCGCCATACCGACACGCTTCGGGGTGCGAAAGGGAGGAATTATATATTAGGATGGAGAAGGCGGAGGGATGAGGATGAAGGAGGAAGGATGAGGATGAGGATGAGGATGAGGATGAGGATGAGGATGAGGAGGAGGAGGAGGCGGGAGGAGGAGGACCGGGAGGAGAAGGAGGAGGGGGAGGATGATGATAATGAGGATGATGATGATGATGAGGAGGAGGAGGAGGAGGAGGAGGAGGAGGAGAAGGCGGGGAGAGGGGGGGAGGAGGGACTGGGATGAGGATGAGGATGAGGAGGAAGAGGACGAGGAGGAAGAGGAGGAGGAGGACGACGACGACGAGGAGGAGGAGCGGGGGCCGGAAAGGAGGGGGAGAAGGAGGAACAGGAGGATGACGAGGAGGAGGACGAGGAGGACGAGCATATAGAGAGGACGAGGAGGAGGAGGAGGAGGAGGAGGAGGAGGAGGAGGAAGGGGAGGAGGAGGAGGAAGAACAAACAAAAAGAAACGGGTGGGGGGTGGGGGAGAAGGAGGAGGAGGAGGAGGAGTAGGAGGAGGACGACGAAGAGGAGAAGGAGGAGGAGGAGGAGGACGAGGACGAGGAGTAGAAGGAGGAGGAGGAGGAGGAGGAGGAAGAGGGAAAAAAAGAGGAAGAGGAAAGAGAGGAGGAGGAGGAGGAGGAAACAAAAAGAGAGGGGGAATCCGTCGAGGAGGCAGCCGTCGAGGCGCGCGCGCGGGGCGCACCGCAGGGGCGCGTCCTGCCCCTGCCCGCCCAGCTCCTCCGCGGGCTGCCCCACGAGGCGGCCTGTGCGGCGTTCGCCGGCGCGGGCGCCGCCCCCGCGCCCCGGAGTGCTGCTCGCGGTGGAGTGCTGCCCGCCAAAGGGCTCCGACGGCCGCGGCTTCCCGCTTGTTCCTCCCCCGTCCGACGCAGGCCCGGGTCAGTCAGGCGTCGTAGGATCCTGCGCGATATTGCAGGGCACTGCGCGCTGGCCCGGGTCCGCGCGCCCCTGGCTCTGCAAGATCCTGCGCCGTGTCTGACCCCCGTTTGCGCTGACCTCCGTCTCAAGGCTCCCGACGGGTTCGTGTCGTGTCGACCCCGGCGGTGGTTCCTGACACCGCGGGGATCGTTGCACCTTGAACGATCGGCCGTGTCCTGCACGTCAGATCGTTCAAAATCGACCGATTCTGGGCCACTGGCGGCGTTCAACCTTGAATGCTGGCGGCGGGGTCGCCGCCGGTCGACACGGCGCGAACCTACCGCAGACGGGCTCGGAAGATCGCGCCGCATCGCGCGGCAATGAGTCGGCGACGTCGGCGCGACTAAAATCGAACTCCACATCGAAAATCATCGCCGATGCATCGGCGATGCAGCGCGGTCCGCCGACCCCATCTACTCAGAACCCAATGGGGGAGGCCTGGAAGGGCGCTGCTCGCGGGGGAGCGGCTCCGCCCGCGGCTGGGCAGCAGCAGCGGCAGTGCCAGCCAGCAAGGGCATCATTTTTGTTGTCCCAACACGCTTCTGGAGGAGTGGGCGGAAAGACGGGGGGACGAGGGCGGAAATGCCACCAGCTGGCGCAGCGATCACGAGGGACAAGAATCCGGGCGGCCACACCTGGTAGAGATCCGCCGCCACGCCTTTGGGCACGGAGTGAGCGTCCTCATGTCCTTTGCCTACACCGCCGTGGCAATACTTTGGCCCATTTATCTTGCTACGGCGAATGAAGGCGAGAGCGTCGCAAGACTTGCGATGCCCCCCCCTCCCCCGTAGACTCCTACACCAGGACAACAAAGCGCCGCGGTGGCGCACCCGCGGCAAAAGAAAAACAACTCCCATTGATACGAGTTGGTAGTAACTGCTTCTTCCAAGGGATCAATTCTTCCGCCTACTTTTGGACGCATGGAAAATGCTTCCGCGCCGGCGCGAGGGAACTCCATTGGAAAAAGCAAGTGAGCCTAAACTTTCGTCCCGCCATAGTAACGAACCTCAGCCCGCACTCCTGAACATTTTCTCAAGGCCCTGGGCCGTTCCCCCGCATCTCCTCGCATCTCCTCGCGTGACGGGCCAACAGGGTCTCAAGACGGCCCAGGAGGGCGCCGAGACGCCGAAATATCGCCCCAAGACGCTCAAGAAGGCGCCAAAACGGCCCATGAAGCCTCCAAGACGGCCCAAGAGGCCTCCCAGAGGCCCCCAAGAAGGCTCCGAGAAGCCAGAATCAGTGATACCCCATCGGCGTTCGAATGTGTTTGGGGCTCCCCACTTTTAGAAGTACCGACGCTCCAAGACCTCCCAGGACGCCCCCAAGACCGCCACAAGACGGCCCCAGAGGCCCCCAATAAGGTCCCACGACGGCCCCCCAAACAACATAACGGCCAAAGAGGGCCTCAAGACGGTCCAAGAGGGGCCCAAGAGTGCGCATCCTTGTGCAAGCTGGGCTACTCCGCGCGCGTGGTGCCGCCCACCGCGCACGCCGCCTCCTTGGAACGCGTTTCTTTATGCTCGGCGATGACGGGCGTCATGGGGGGGGGGGCGAGGGGGGGTATGACGTAACGCTCCCCCCGCCGTGTGGCTCCGGCCGGCACCGCAGCCGCGCCCGCGCGCGCGACGCGACGAGCGACGAGCGACGACGACGACGAACACGACGACGACGATCACGATGACGACGACGACGACGTCGACGACGCGAGCAGCATGTGGGTGGCGATATGTCCCACTGCGCCTGTGTACACCACAACGCTCGCGTGCACCACAGCGCGCGTGTATACCACAGCGCCTGCGTACACCGCAACAACCGTGTGCAACGCAGCGCCCGTGTACACCGCAATGCTTGCGTACAGAACAGCGCCGGCGTACACTTGCACACCGCAGCTACCATGTGCAACACAGCGCATGTGTACATCACAATGCTTGCGTGCACCGCGGCGCCTGTGCACGCCACAGCGCGTGTCTACACCACAGCATCCGCGTGCAACGCAGCGCTGGTGTACACCACAATTCCTGCGTGCATAGGACAGGTAGAAGGAGCATGTACGTGAGGATCTGCTGCGGAACTAGACGCCACGCAAAAAAAATGCTGATAATCGAATGCGACGTTTTTCCCTCCTCCCTCCTCCTCCTCCTCCTCCTCCTCCACCTCCACCTCCACCTCCTCCTCCTCCTCCTCCTTACCCCCGGTCGTGCGGGTTGGCGCTACAGCGCACGTGCGCATCTCAGCGCGCACCGCAAAATGGTTTAGTGAATCGGTCCATTTGGTTTTCGGACGGCCAATGTAGCTGGAACCTCCTGGACGCAAAGGGAGGTGTTAGGGTAATGCGGGCGGTTTCGGGAGGACACGTAGATTCCGGCGGCGCTCCGTTGTCCATAATGATCATTCCCTACCTAGGCTCTGCCTAAAAGGGTTCTTACTCTCTTAGCTGAAAGGGGCCGGGCAGTGCAAAGCGCCCCGGGCGGTTCCCCCAGTCCCCGCCCCGCGGTTCCCCCCAGCCCCCTGGGAGCTTTAGCTTTAGCTTTAGCTTTAGCTTTAGCTTAGCTTTAGCTTAGCTTTAGCTTAGCTTTAGCTTAGCTGTAGCTTAGCTTTAGCTTAGCGTTTCGCTTAGCTTTTCGCTTAGCGTTTAGCTTAGCTTTAGCTTAGCTTTAGCTTAGCTTTAGCTTAGCTTAGCTTAGCTTTAGCTTTTTAGCTTAGCTTTAGCTTAGCTTTAGCTTAGCTTAGCTAGCTTAGCTTAGCTTAGCTTAGCTTTAGCTTAGCTTTAGCTTAGCTTTAGCTTAGCTGCTGCTGCTCAGCTTTAGCTTAGCTTTAGTTTAGCTTTAGCTTAGCTTTAGCTGAGCTTTGGCTTAGCTTTAGCTTAGCTTTAGCTTAGCTTTAGCTTAGCTTTAGCTTAGCTTTAGCTTAGTTTTAGCTTAACTTTAGCTTAGCTGTGGCTTAGCTTTAGCTTAGCTTTAGCTTAGCTTAGCGTTACTGTTACTACTAATGCTGCTTTCCTAGGGGTTCCAACTCCTAGGTAGGGTCGCACTGGGATAATTTGATATTGTTTTTTTGTGGAATCCACAAGCGCTCCATTTTGCCATAAAGATTCGTCAATATACAACAGTGGTGCTGTGTTGCACACGGCTGTTGTGGTACACGCAGGCACCGTGGTGTACACAGGCACTGCAATGCACGCAGGCATTGTGGTGTATACGGGTGATGTGTTGCGCACGGCTGATGTGGTGAACGCAAGCGTTGTGGTGTGCGCAAAGAGCTGTTGCGCCCGCAGGCACGGTGGCACAAACTGACGCTGTTTTGTACGCGGCTGCTGTGGTGACATAGGCGGTGGTGTACACAGGCGTTGTGGTGCACGCAAGCACTGTGGTGTACACAGGCGTTGTGGTGCAAATCGCCACCTACATGCTGGCGCTGCCCGTCCTCCGTCATTCCTAGACATTCCCAAACGCCGCCGGCGCGAAACGTGACGTCATCGCCCCCCTCCATCCCTCCCTAAATGATTGCCGTCATCGGCCCGGAATAAAAAAAAAAACAAAAAAAAAAAAAAAAAAAAATCCGCCGCGTCCGCGCGCACGACGACTATGAGCGACGAGCGACAAGCCACGAGCGACGACGACGACGACGACGACGACGACGACGACGACGACGACGACGACGACGACGACGACGACTGCGGACCAGACTCCTATGCGGATTCCTACGCGGATCCCAATGCGCACAGCGGCAGTGCTCGGAGCGCACTGGGGGGCAGTGCCCAGAGCGCACTGGACGGCGGAGCGTTACGTCATGGGGGGGGGCGGGGGCCATGACGCCCGTCATGCCCCAAGCAATAAAGAGACGGGCTCTTGAGAGCAATAAGCGACGCTCTGCCAAGGCCTGCCATGAACCACTGAGCGGCTGCTCGCCCTCTGACGCTTTCTAGCAGCAGGCTCAGATCAAGCTCGACAAGGGCGGACCTGGCCTGCGCTCCGCCGCCAAGCACGCCGCCGCCGCTGAGATCGCTTCCCGAGCGAAGAGCACCGACATCTATCGGCAGCTATACCCTGGCTGCCCCAACGGCGCTGACCGCGAAGGGGGGAGTCTGGCGGCTGCGGTGCACGCCTACAACGCAGTCGGGCGGGGCGCCGACCGGGTGTTCGACCACGCGCAACACGGCGACCAGAAAACCCTATCCGACGCGGTGGACAGCGCCACTCTCGACGGGCTTCTGGAAGGCGCCACCCTGGCCGGCAGGGCGCACGTCTCCCTGGTGCAGGCCCTGGGCGCTGCCGCGTGGCTCCTGGCGCTGCCCTGCGAAACCACCAACACCGCCTTTCCGCGCGGCCCCATGCAGATCGGCCTGCAAAGGCGGCTGCGAATACAACTCCTGCTGGAGGTTCTGCGACCGCGCCTTGGTCTGCGCCTGCCGCGGCGACTGGACCAAACGCCACAACTCCCCGCGCAACCAGGCCTTCTTCGACGCCATGGCCGCTGGCCACGAGGAGGCGGAGTTGGAGCGCCCAGGGCTGCCACCCCCGCGCCCCGACGGGGAAGCCACCCCTGGGGGCGAGCAAGGCGGGCCCCAAGTGAGCGACGCCGGCCGCCGCCCTGCCGACGTCTGCCTGGCATGGTTGCGCAACGGCGCGGCGGTCGCTTGGGACTTTGCCGCCGCGTCGGAGTTGCGCGCCGATCTCCTCGTCGCGTCGGCCGTTTCGCCAAGCGCGGCCACGGAGCGGCACGAGGAGTTCAAAGGCAACGCCTGCATACCGCGCGGCCTTGCGCGGCGCAAAGCTTCACCTTCCTCCACAAGGTGGTGGAGGCCCACGGCGGCGGGTGGGCCGCGAGG